GTCTCCTTTTGCATGTGGATGCACATGTGTGCTCATAAGGCAACATTCTGTTACAATGTTATTATTTTCTGCTTGGCGCTGTGTAATCTTCCCACCTCTCCAAACTGAGACAAGTCTGTGTTCTAGTTAAGCTCTTTCCACAGTCCTGGGCTAGCTCTAGTTCATGTCTTTGGATGGTGTTTTGTTCGTTTTGTTTTTGCATTTGTTTTGGCAGAAATCTTGAAGGTTTTGATTCAGGTGAAGAATATAAACAAATTTTTTCTTGCGGAGCAGTGGTGGCACACACTTTAATCCCAATACTTGGGTGGCAGAGGCAGGTCAATCTCTGTGAGTTCAAGGCCAACCTGGTCTACAGAGTGAGTTCTACAATAACCAGGACTGTTACATGGAGAAAAACAAAACAGAACAAAATAAAGTTTTTCTTAACATATATGAGTTATACATCATAATGGGTTCCATTATATTTTCATACGTGTACATAATGCATTTGTTTCTACTGTACTCATGCCTCCATACCCCTCTCCTGTTCTCCTCATACTTCCTCTCACTCTAATACCCTCCTCTTCCCAGTTTCCCCTTCATTTTCATGACTTACCTGATGAGACTCACCAGGGTTGTTTACAGTATCTCTGATTTGAGTCTGCTCCAAAGGGGGCTACTGTGAATTCAGGCAAAAGCCACAGCTGGGTGGTTAAAGGCCGGACCACAGGCTCTGCTGTTGTTTTTGTAACACAGACATAAGTCTGTTGACAACTAAATAACTATGTTTCTACCCACAGGTGAGTGCTGTCATTAGCCCTATTCAGAAAAACTTCCTGCAGCCATCCTATGAGAGAAGCTCAAAATTCAAAACTAGTCAAAAAAAATCTGATTTTAAAAAAATGCTATAAATTTCATAATCATCCTCAAGAAAGAAAATCATAGTATTTTCTAGATACACAAATACAGGGCACAATATTGCCCACTTCTCCAGGGTTTTCCCAAATATAAAACGTTAAATGTTAAAATTATAGAAGATCTGACTATGCATTTCTTTGACTTCTAATAAATTGAAATTTTTTGTTTCAGACAGATCAATAGATAGATGATAGGTGATGGTATTTAGAAAGATGGATGATAATGATGATAATATCTACCTTGCTGGATAGATGATAGATGGTGATGATGGATAGGAAGATAATAGATAGGTATGTAAATAGATGATAAATAGGTAGATAGATGATAGGTAGATAATTGATTGATTGATTGATAGAAAGATGATAGGTAGATTATAAATAGATAGATGATAGTGTCATTGTTAGGGTTACTATTGCTGTGAAGAGGTAACAGGACAATGGCAGCTCTTATAAAGGAAACATTTCATTGTGATGTCTCACTTACAGTTCAGGGGATCAGCCCATCATGGCAAGGAGCATGGCAGCATGCAAACAGGCATGGTGCTCTAGAAGTAGCCAAATGTCCTATATCTTGCAGTCAACAGGAAGTTGACTGTCACACTGAGTGACCTCAAAGTGACAGACTTTCCAGCAGAAGGTCTGGATTAAAGGTGTGGGATCATCTAGCCTCTTAGACCAAGATCACATCCACTCCAACAAGGCCACACCTCCTAATAGTGACACTCCCTTTGTAGGCCATTTTCTTTCAAACCACCACAAATAGATAGATGATAGATAGAAAAATGGGTGGTACATAGACAGATGACAGATAGATTATAGACAGACAGATGACACATATATAGATGATAGAGATAGATGATAGATAGGTAAGTAGGTAGATATATTATTAATTGATAGGGAGAGAGAGAGATGGAGAGCGAGAGAGGATTGACAGATAAATGTCCTGCACAGATATTACCTTGTGTGGTGCCTTGAGAGAAGGGAATAGAAGATAAAGGAGGTTGAATAAGTTTCTCAAAGTCACACAGCTTGTATTAGCAAACTTAGCAGCTTGTTTTTCATCTCCTAAATGAATGAATTTGTTCTTCAGTTTTCTCCAGTAAGCAGGGTTCTGTTGAATCCCAAATTTCAAGGGCATCTAACAAAACTAAGTTACTTTCAGCCAAATCAACTTTGTAAAGTACTGTTTGGAGAATTACTGTGACAGTTAATGTCTTTGGTTTACAATCCCTAGATAACTTGGGTCCAGATCAAGATTGGAAGATAAAGAAGATCCCGTATCAAAGGGCATCTGATACACTGACAGTATCCCAGGTCCTACAGTCATGGTAGGTTACCTGAGAAGCTGAAGGCTACGTGTGTGCTTGTGGCCTCCTCCATCACTGTTGTGTGACATCATTCAACAATACTTGCCTTGTGATGGGGGACTGCAGCCATCAAATCACTTCCAAAGGGGCTAGCCTTTGGTTTCTGGCTGTCTTTTTCTGGCCTTTGGTTTCTGACTGTTTTTTTTTTTTTTTTTTTTTTTTTCTGGCCTTTAGTTTCTGTTTGTCTTTTTCTGGCCTTTGGTTTCTGTCTTTTTCATTTCTATCCCAGTTGATATTAAAGGCCAGGCTGTCACCTGCTGCTTAACCTTGTGAGACAAAGTCAAAGTCTCTTTTCTTTAACTGCTAACTAGTTATCCCATGAGTCAACCTTTAAAAGAAAAAAGGAAAAACAATAACATTAAGGAACACCAGTTTCTTAGAAGGAGGGGGAGTTGTCCTCACATTAGAGACATTTAATTAATGAAAATCAGACAAAGGTTTCTCTGGATAAAGGAATTTGAGAGACTTGGGAATAAAGGCGGGGGGGGGGGGGGATTCACATTTATTGTAGAAAACAAAACAAAACAAAACAAAAAACTCTTGGGTTCAGATTCTTACCACAGTCATCTTCCAGGCACAGGTGTGCAGCACACAGGGGAAATGACCCTCCACTGTCATCCCATCTGACATCCTTTGTGTTCATGATGACAAAATAAGAAAATGGGAGGAGAGAGAGAGACAGAGACAGAGACAGAGACAGAGACAGAGAGAGCATGCACATTAGGGATCTCCAACTCCTCTCTCCAGAGCAGTTCTTACCCCCACCATTTCTTGGTTTAGGCTAAAAAAAATCCCACAGTATGAGATGCCATTCACGGGGTCAGCAGATTCAGAAGTTCATTCTGTTTTGCTGTTTGCTTCAGTACAGCTCATTCAGATGCCCAAGTGGACAGGATATAGCCTTAAGGACCTTGAGTCAAGCAAACTAGTGACTCAAAAAGCAACTTCCCCTGCAGAGCTCTGTGTGGGCCCTGTCTCTGAGGGAATTAGTTCAATGATATGGTACAGAGGCCGGCTGCTCAGTTCAATCCCTGCTCCTCTCAACACAGAGAGCCTGTACACAGTTCTTAACTCGCATGTGCCTAGCTTTGCCCACCCACAAGATGGAAGTGAGGCAAACATCCTGTTTGATTCTCACAACTTCTGAAAAACCCTGAAGATGTGAGCACCCATGTCACACATGAAGTGAAATGTCAGCATTAAGCAACAGATTCAAGGCCACCTCATGAGTAAGCGGTGCAGGGATTTGAAGTAAGATCCTCCAAGCAGAACGCAAAAATTATCAGGTAGATAAGATCCATCTCTGTCCCTCCCCTGCTTCCCCTATGCAGGGTTAGTTTTATAAATCTAGTAGAACACACTGGAGCACAGTTATAGGTACACTTCTAACCCACAGGACACAAAAAATGTGACAAATCACTGCAGAGTCCCAGTATATCTCACTGCATCATTTCTAAACCCACAGCTGTTTTATAGATATATTTTACATACATATGATCAAATTACATACACAGCTTTTAACTTTTTCTTACCCCATGGTACTAGGGGCCTCCATTAATTTCCTTTCTGCATCTGGCTGCATGAATTTCTATAATATACTTAGCCCCCCACCTCCACCTTTTTGAGTTTGTCCTTTTATTTTTATTTATTCTTTTTTTTTTTTTTTTTTTTTTTTTTTTGTAGAGTGATTCTTTTTCTTGACAGTTTGCCTTCTTCGGACATTTTTATTTCCATCTCTAGCCTGGACACCCAGTGCCCAGTGATCTTGAGTTCCCTCTCTCCTAACTTTTTTGCGAGTTTAATCACTGGAAAGGGAGTGATCTTTCATACTATAATGTACATGGTTAATAAAACCTAACCCACTGTATTTTGAAGGTCTTTTTTTTTTTTAATTAATCAGTTTAAACCAAAGGAATGGGGTTCTAATTATGGGGTTCTAGCGATCAATTAATCTGGACAAGGAGATTCCCCTGACTCCCAGCTAGAGAGTAAACTCCATAATGCCAAAAAGATGTAGGGCTCCCTTAATTACGGTGGTGAGATGCTAAGGACAATTGAAGAGTCTGCTTAAATCAGGGTGAAAACAGAAACTCTGTTAGTACAGAGTATGTGACCACACTAACCCAGATTCTCCAACTACATCCTGTAAGGTATTTGGCCTTGGGGATGGGATGGGTCCGCCCACCTTCCACACCAGCCAGTCCTCGTTCTCACCCCTAATTATGGAGTGATGGCCACAGAGCAAGTACTCGGGGTGCAATTGTTAAATTGTACAAGGCACCTAAGAGGGCAATTGTTAAGTTGACCACCGCCTTGCGCGAGGTATACCACCAAGCCTGGGTCCTGGCTGATCCTGTCTGAGCTGCAAGTCAGAGAATTAAATAATCCCGCGGGGAATATCAGAGACCCGGTGGGAAAATTCCCCAAATGTGCTCCAAAGTCTCACGGTGTTCCTTCTTTTTGAGACTCCGCGGCCTGGGACCCAAAGCAGAAAAGCGTCCCCATATCGAATCCTCTAGCAACCAATCAGGGCCGTATGTCCCAGAGGAGGCTAGTGTGGAATCAGCAGATCAGAAGCCCCTCCGGCGGGAAGCCTCCACTCGCAACAGAGGGGAACCCGATTGCCCCACGCGAGCCGCCCCACCAGGACGCTCCGCCCTCGGCCTCGCTGGTTGGCTGCGGCACTGCAGCGAGCGGCGGCGGCGGGAGGAGCCAGGCGCGCCTGCCACGCAAAACCACCGTGCTCGGTCCCCAGCGGCGGTGGCAGCACTGACAGCAGCCTGTGCGCTGTGTCCTCGCGGCGCCCAGTATCCAGCATCCCGCATCCGCTACGCTCCCCGCTAGCGCCAGTGCCCACCATGGGGAAGCCCACGAGCTCTGGATGCGACTGGCGCCGCTTCCTGCGGAATAACTGGCTGCTGCTCTCCACGGTGGCCGCCGTGGTGCTAGGTGAGCCCCGCGGGGGGCGAGGCGCGCGCCAGGGGGACAGGCCGCGTGCGGGGTCGGGTATGCTCGGCGTGGCTCGCGCTGCCCGCAACCCCCCCCCCCGGGCCTGGACCCCCAAGCTTGGGGACAGTCAGAGCGCTTTGCTTTCACGCGGGCGGGGGTGGGAGCAATGCTTATAGGGAACCCCCATTCGGATGTTGCGCGAGCTTTTGTCTGCTTTCTCCAGAATGATCAAAGGGGTTTGGAAGGTGGACAGGGGTCATTTGGAAACAGACAGGGTTTAATTTGATCTTCATCTTTAACTGTTCACACACACACACACACTCACCACCATACCAAGACCACCACACTACCACACCACCACCTTCGTGCCCGACGGAGACTGTATGAATTACAGTTCTCTGTCGGATTTGAAAAGACACCTGGGCCTGCAGGATGGTGGAGACCCTGAGAATGTTGGCGCCTCTGGTAGGGGTAGGTGCCCCCTTACAGGATCCCCTCCAATCAGATTCGTGCCTGAATTCTCACTAGCAGTTGTGGCTCAAGGGAGGCCACAGGCAACCAGCGCTAAGAGACCTCAGCCTCCTTCTTCCTGGCCTCCCTGCTCACCGCGTTTTTTTCTATTGAAAATATTATAAGCCGCTTTTATTTGTTTTCTCACTCGCGTGTTTTTAAGTGACCCACGCCTGACATATGGGTGACCCAGGGCTAGGTGCAGTTACTCCTGTTTAGAATCTCATTTTCTGGCCAGGTTATTGGTCTAACTTGAGCTAGGCAATGAACTTTAGGGTGGAAGCCCTGGGGGTCTTTATATCCCAGGCGGGGCAGCCCAGCAAGTGCGGGCAGGTGCACCTTGAGGGCAAGTGGATTCCCAGGCAGCCTCCACCCTCTGTCTGGAAATTGCAGCTGTCCCTGCTGGAAAGGGGATGGGGCAGTCTGTTCTTCCGTGGTGTTGCTCGAGTCTGGGAATACTTGGTGTAGTCTGCTCTCCTCCAAAGTCTTCCCCACCAAAAATAAAATGTGTTTGGAAGTTAATGGAATCTTTGGGGTTATATGGGCTCCTCTGGAACCTTATGCAAAGGGAAGTCAGGCTTCTAGTAAATAAATAACATCCCGGAATCGCCTTAAACAGAGGATTTGTTTGCGGGAGGGAAGGGGGGAAGTGGAGGTGCTAGTGTTCACTTTCCCCAGCGCCAAGTGGTTTAGGGCGTTGGGGGTGGAGGAAGGTTTATCTTGCGTCACCATGTTAAAATAACAGGCCCTTCCGAGAGAGTGAATGGATTCGAAGACATGCCGTGTTTGTTTTCCCAATGGTGAGTAGAGAATTTATTTTTAAATCTGTTTTTGAAAGCCTTGGAGGTGACTAAAGCTTGTGTCTCCTTCCCAGTTCTGTGTGTGTGTCTGCAGCCCTGGGCCCTTCAGAGAATCCACTTGGTCACCAAGTGTTTCCAACCCAGCAGCTGGCACGAGCATTGCTTCCCCACAGCTTATGTACCGACTCTGCAGAGGCCACTCTGGGAAGGAAGCTTGGCCTTTACTCATTGGCCTTTGAACCAGTAGCACAAGCAACATCCTCAGGCTGAAAAAAGGTTTCCCTCCTATTTCTCAGGCATGCCTGTGGTCTCTGGCCGATGACCCCACTTCCCAGTTTGAGTGTGGGTGAACCATACGGGAACTTGTTCTGGTAGTTTGTTTTAGCCACAAATCAGCCGCTTAAAATTGCAGGTGCCCAACTGAGGCCTTAGCAATCACTTGCTCTTCCTGGGAATTGTAGTGCAGGTTCAGGTATGTTACCATCTGGAAGGAGAAACCCCCAGCTTTAGAATACCATCAGGGTGCCCAAACAGACACTTGCTCCAGTCTCCTTTTTGTTACTCAGAGCCCCTCTGGTCTGAGTAAGAACTTGAACTTGCCTTTGTTCAGTCTACACTGCCTGCCTGTATGTATAATAAGCAATGCAATCACAGCCACTTGTCCTGAGTATTTACTAGCCCTTTCGAGGCTGTGATAGTCAAGTTTTTCTACAGCTGCCAGAATTGATTCAGCAAAATTACCAGAGCTCTCACAAAGCTTTCTTTAGGGAGTTTTTGGGCATGTAGACCAAAAAAAATAAAAAAGGAGGAAAATGTTAAAGGCAGTTAGTTCTTCTGTGAAACCTTCTGAACACAGCTATTGAAATATTTGGTCCCCAAAATAAGTTGGCAGCTTTGACTATGTAAAATATTTTGGTTAGTGAAACTAAGGACAAAGTTTTCTTTTTTCTAGGCAAGGTGGCACAAACCTGTCATCCCAGAATCAGGAGGTAGAAACCGGAAGATTAGGAGTTCAAGGTTAGCCTCGGCTACATAGTGAGTTTGAGGCTACCCTGAGCTACATGAGACTGTTTTTAAAAAAAACTCTGAGTGTGTGTGTGTGTGTGTGTGTGTGTGTGTGTATGTGTGTGTATATTCAAGCTCCTATTTAAAGCCTCTGATTGACTTTCTGAGATACAGCTAGTGAGGGAAAATCCAATTAAAAATCACTTTCATTAGACATATGATGTTAACTTGTTTTTAATGGCCAAGGAGATTCTTTGAGATAACTGTTTGACAAATCCTTATATATAAAGTTGGTACTAAGTAGGTGACTGTCGTTGGTATTTTATGTGACTCCTACAAGATCCTGAAAATAATATTTACCTGAGAGGAGCATTTTAATTGGGCTCCCTATTCCCATAGCACGGTAGAATAAGCATGGTGCCTCCAGTCAGGAACTCTGCACTTGACACCGGAATTCTGCCTGGTGCTGCTGTCTAGATTCATTGATTATTCTCCAGGATCCTCAGTTTCCTCATCTTCAAAAATGGGAACATGTGTGACCAGAGTTGATTAAGATACTATGGAAATAGCCAGTTTGGGGTTGGCATGCCATAGGTATGCAGTACATGCTACAAGGAAGAAAATCTGAATTTAAATATGAGAAAATTAATATTTTGTTTTGAAATTGAGTCGCTAGTCTGCCTAATGTTCAGTTTATAATTTGAAGTTCATAGTAATGGTTTTAATGGCATGTTCTATTGAAGCCAGTGCCAATCTCTGTAGCATTAGTCAAACTAAAAAGAGGGAATAGAAAAAGTTAATGACAGACAGTGGAACCAGGATGTATCCCTGGTGCACAAAAGGACCTTGCGGACACATCCCCCATGGAGGGATACTGCCTTAACCTAAAGACAGGCGAGAAGTCCTAGTCCCTACTTCAAATGACTTGACAGATCTACATGACCCCACCTGGATGGCATTGCCCTTACATGTGGAATTGGGGTGGGGGATGGGAGGAGAGAAAAAAAAAGTATATATAAAAAAAGTTAATGACTTGGTTTTTTTACCCTATGGACTAACTCTCAACTTGCTTAATAGGCAGAAAGTCAGTGAGAAGAAATTTTGCAGTCTTAGTGGGAATTATGTCTAAGCAGAATTCCTGTGTGTGAGAATTCCACCACCAAGGCTAGGGCTGCTTGTAGTACTGGGGAGATACTTGTGGACTCCCCATCACACTCACTACAGGCAGTATCAAGTCCCCTCTAGGCTTTGTGTGGAGAAATCTGCAACGACCAGCTTGGGGACTTTCAGAAAAGGCCACAGGTACTGCTTGCACCAGGGAGCTGTCAAACCTGTTCACCGTTGAGCCGTTCCTATGAGTTCTAAGGAAGCAATTGTACAGACTCTGAGCTAACACCCTTACTCAGCCTTGTGTCTTCTGCCTCTGAGCATGCCTGACAGTGTTCATTTGGACCCAGCCTTTGCTTTCTGTTGTTTCATTTTGGAGCCAGCCGTGAATCAATCACATGATTCCAGAACCAGCTCTTCATCTCCCAGGATTTAAGTGTGTACCTGCCTGGTGTGGTGGCACACACCTTTAATCCCAGCCCTTGAGGCAGAGGCAGGTAGATCTCTGTGAGTTTGAGGTCAGACTGGTCTACATCAGTCTAAGGCCAGCTAGTGGGAACAAGTTGCACAGCTATCTGTGGCATCCTAACTCCTTGAATGCATAGCAGGGAAAGGTTGGGTGTGGGTGGGCTAGAAGGTTGAAGTGGGAGTGAGAAAGGGACCAAACAGCAGGGTGGGCCTGGTTCACATCCAGACAAGGAGAGAAAGGGCCTCATCCAGGCAGTGGAAGTAGATGGAAATGAAGGCCATCGAATTAACTCACTAGGGCCTGGTGAAATTTGGTCAGAGTGAGAATGACTGTCTTTAGCAGGATCTGGAATTCCAGAAACGGGCTTGATGTGGACATTGTGAAAAAGGACATTGAGTGAGGCTAGGCCGTAAGCAGGGAGTCTGGAGTCTGGAGACAGGTTGCAAGTGGTGAGGAGTGGAATGCTAGGAGGTAGAGGCCCAGGAAGAGGTTAAAGCTCTGGGGACAGATGAACCCACTTGAACAGGGAGATGAACAGACCTAGGGCCAGAGAGTGCAGAGAGGGGCTGCTGACCCAAAACCAGCAGTTAAAGACTGAACCGTGCCAGGAGAGGGTGCTCACTAGTGGGCTGTGGGCGGAGGAGGGGAGGTAACCCCGTGAGACTTTCTTTGGAGGCACTGGGGCGTGGAAAGGGAAGGGCTGGGAGAAAGTGGTTATTCAGTGTTTCAGCCGAGAACCTTTTCTTGTTTTGTTTTGGGTTTTGAGTCTGCTTTAATTCCAAAGGAAGCCATCTTAAAGGTAGAGATGAGAGGGGAGAGAAGGGAGGGAGGGAGGGAGGGAGGGAGGGAGAGAGAGAGAGAGAGAGAGAGAGAGAGAGAGAGAGCAGGAGAGGGAAACAGAATGCAGTACGAATTATGCTGGGGAGAGAGAGAGAGTGTGTGTGTATGTATGTATGTGTGCGTGTGTCCTGCTCTTACAGATAAAGTGTTCCATATTAATTACTTGTGAGAAACTGTGATTACCTTTCACAGAGCTAAGCCTGAAAATAACTGTCCTAGAGAGAGTAGCAACTTACTGGCCAGTTGCCAAAGAAGCAGTGCCTGCCCAA